CATTGTAAATGGGGAACAGTCATCAAGCGGGTGTGTTTCCAGTGCAGTCCTGTAGGGATTGGTTCTTGGCCCTACACTTTTTAATATTTTTATCAATGACCTGGAAGAAAACATAAAATTCATCACTGATAAACTTTGCAGAGGACACAAAAATTGGGGGAGTGGTAAATAATGAAGAGGACAGGTCACTGATTCAGTGCGATATGGTTCGCTTTCTATACTGGGTGCAAGCAAACAATATGTATTTTAATATGGCTATACATAAATGTTCTCATCTAGGAACAAAGAATGCAAGCTATACTTACAGACTGGAGGACCCTATCCTGGGAAGCAGTGACTGTGAAAAGATTTGGAGGTCAGAGTGGATAATCAGCTGAATATGAGCTCCCAGTGTGACTATGTGGCCAAAAGAGCTAACATGATCCTTGGATGCATAAACAGGGGAATCTCACGTAGGAGTAGAGAGATTATTTTACCTCTGTATTTGGCCTTGGTGCAACTGCTGTTGCAATACTGTGTCCAGTTCTGGTGTTCACAGTTTAAGAAGGATATTAATAAACTGGATGGTTCAGAGAGGAGCCATAAGAATGATTAAAGGATTACAAAACATGACTTATAATGATAGACTAAAAGAACTCAAGCTATTTATCTTAACAAAGAGAAGGTTAAAGAGTGACTTGATTACCATCTATAAGTGTCTACATGGGGAACACATTTAATAATGGACTCTTCAATCTAGCAGAGAAAGGTAACATGGTAACAGATAAAAGGTAATAACATGAGCCAATGGCTGGAAGTTGAAACTAGACAAATTCAGACTAGAAATAAGGTGTATATTTTTGACAGTGAGGGTAATTAACCATTGGAGCAATTTACAAAAGGTCCTGGTTGATTCTTCATCAGTGACAATTTTTAAATCAAGATTGGATGTTTCTCTAAAAAATAAGCACTAGGAATTATTTTGGGGAAGTTCTATGGCCTGTATTATACAGGTGGTCGGATTAGATGATCACAATGGTCCCTGCTGGCCTTGGAATCTATGAATCTGGGGACCATAGGTGCTCAGTGTTATCTCCCCTTTAGAAATCATGCATCAGAATGAACATTTGGATGGAATGGCCAAGCCATTGAAATAAATGGCTGGTGTTGTGAGAGTGGAAAGCAGCTGGACAGCTGTGTTTTTAATCTATTACATTAAAAATGAAAATTGTTTGGAGTACAATGTGACCCTCCCCCTGATATAGTTAGTGTCCTCAATCTTATCACCACCTGCTGCAAGACATTACATACTTATTTTCTCACTAGTTCTAACTGTATATATGATTTTTTCTGGCTCCTTTAAACTGCAGTGCCGAGTCCAAGTAAAAACTGCATACTTGGCTATTATCCAGAATTGTAACTCAGTTGCTAGAACCTGTGGAGAGCTCCATGTAATTTAATCTTGCCTTCTATCATGAAAGCATAAAAGGTATAAAGGTGTGTTTTTAAAGCAGCATGGCTCAATCCCAGCAAAATTCCAACACTGTTATTTTCTCCTTGGTATTATGAGTTTAGAGGGCTTTTAATTAAATCTCAGGGAGGAAAATACTGCCATGTCTACATTTACCAGGGATTGACGCTACTGTGATCGATGCAGTGGGAATTGATTTAGCAGGTCTAGTGAAATTGACTGCAGAGCACTCTCCGGTCGACTCCGGTACTCCACCGGAATGAGAGAAGTAAGGTAAATAAGATCCTCTCCCATTGACTAAGTGCAGTGTAGACACTGCAGTAAGTCGACCTAAGCTACATTGACTCTAGCTACGTTATTCACATAGCTGGAGTAGCGTAACTTAGGTGACTTACCCCGGTAGTGTAAACAAGGCCTACGTGTCAGTTGTGTGTTCACTCTGGAATGGTAATGTTAAAATAGCATGCATAGGGTTGGATATAACATGACATTTTAGTCTCTGGCATGATTTTTCAACTTTCCTCTTTTAACACATTTATAAAATTTAAAAAGCCACAAAAGTTGGAGCATATTTCTGGGCCTCTCTTCATGCTTGAAATGAGGTTTGCAGCTGTCTCGTTACATTTTGTAATGATCCACAGCGGAAAATGATCATATACGGGTGATATAATTAAGCTCTTGAGCCTGCAAAGACTTTTGCAACTTTATATGCATGTGACTAGACCAACTGATAGATGATAAAGACTGGAACCTTGATCTAGTTTCTGTTCTCAAACCAATTTTAGAGCTTTTGAATTATGGGTTTTTATAAGATGCATTGATTCCACCCAGTTTATTGCTTGAAAGTAATACCTTAAAATAATCTGAGTGCAGCAGGAAAATATTTATCTTCAAGTCTGTGTTAGTAATAATAAATTGAAGGTTTATTTCTAAGATTAAAAATTAATCAGCCAAAGGTGTGGAAACAGCTATCATTGATCTTGGCTTACTTGCATCTTTTTAATATGAATGAATGTATCTAGTGCCCCAAGGGCACCTCTACTTGAATAATGAGTGGAGCTGGGTGAAACTTCACTATGGAACACAAAACTACTTGAAACTCTCCTGGTTTGGGGTTTCATTACAAACTTGAAATTTCAGCCCAAGTTCCTCAAAAA